AAGAACGCGACTTATTATTACAACAAATATTTTGAAAATAATATTTCAGATTTTTACTATGTTATGTAGACGAGAACATACATACATATGACGTATGCTATTTATAGCAAAGTGATACGGAAATAGTGTTATGGAACTCAGTTAGACTGGCTACGGCTCATAAATACATACATTTGCACTTAGATTACATACAACTAGCCAGGTCGAACCACTATAAAAATCATGTGTAAATGTGATCGATTTTTCAGATTTTACAGAAAATCAAATCAAATGGAGTACTATTGTATATCATATAACTACCATACATCCGATTTGTTGAGCCATGACGTCTTCGCAAATAAAAGTGTTTAAAAAGCATATAAATTTATCAAATTTCATTGTCACAGAAAACCATCGAAAACGGGAAATTTCACCTAATAATTTCCCTCCAACGAATTTAATAAATATTTGGTGTATAAGAAGTTCGTTCGGTTTTTGTCTAAGAGATGGCGTTATTGTCCATAGTACTAGTTTTACGTGTCGCATCATGTCATACGATACGGCGCTGAAAACGTGTTTATTCGCGCTAAAAGTTTGTCTTTGACAGTTTTTCGATTGATTGGCTCAGTACGTTGTGAGCGCTCGTCAAAGATGGACACCAGCGAAGGGAAAATTCGCTGTATTTTACAATCTTTCTTCGATCAAGGTGAAAAGGCAGCCAAAGCGGCGGAAAAAATTAGTTAAGTTTATGGGCCCGATACTGTAAACGAACGTGTAGCACAAAAGTGGTTTACTTGGTTCCGTTCCGGTAATTTCGATGTCAAAGATGCACCCCGCGTCGGGAGGCCTGTCATCGAATATTGCGATAAAATCATGGAAATAATGGAAACAGACCGTCACGTGAGCACTTATTTAATTGGTGAGGAACCAAAGATATGCCAGATAACCGTTTGGAACCATTTGCATAACTTTGGCTTCAAAAAGAAGCTCGAGAGAAGAAGTTGGGAGTCACAAGAACTAACCCAAAAAAAAACAGGATGGACCGAATTTCCATCTGGGAATCGCTGCTGAATCGCAACAAAAGCGACCCGTTCCTGGAGCAGATTGTGACTGGTGATGAAATTGGCTCTTCGAGTTTTTTGCCAATAAAGACGTAGCCTACTACGAGAGGGGTATAATGAAGTTGGCATCTTGTTATCATATTTAAAAAAAAAACAATAAAAAACCGAACGAACCTTTTACTTTACCTAATACGTAACCACTCGTCTCCGAGATGTCAATTGGCCAACGAGATCGTGCGATTTGACACAATTGGACTTTTGTTTTTGAGGCGTTCATTCAATTTTGTTAACTCAATGTGCATATCGGAAAAAATATCGCGGCAAAAAGGCACCATCTGACAGATCACCTGATTTAACCCCCTCGGGGGGTTTACTCCAAACAGCTTTAAACTATTGATGAGCTCAAGGCAAACATTCGTGCTGATATCGACGCTGTAACACCCGAAATGCTCGGAAAGTTAATGGTGAATGCAGAAAAAAAGGAGTCATTTTGTAATTGCTTGATTGATATTGTTTTCAAAAACCAATTCAAAAAAATTGTAAGGAACCAAACTGAATAAAAATACATCACTCATAGAAATCGGTTGATTTTCTCAAAGTTATTCAATTTTTACATACCGACATAAAAAATGGAGTAAAATGTAGAATAATTATCTATCTAAAATTTTGTAGCACTTCAAGTGCTTAAGGGGCACACCTAGTGTGAGATTTCAAAAAAATCGATTTTTTCATATTTCGGTGGATTACACCTTTAAAAAAGAAATATTAAATTTTCAAATCGATGTCTCAAATAGTTTTTGAGTTATAGCAATTTAAAGAGCAGCCGCTCGGCAGCTAGAAAGTCTCTTAGCTACGAGTGAAAACGATCATTTTATCTTTAAACGCGTTCTTCTCGAAACAGCATTTTCCGAATTTGCTGCAGTGGTTACTCAAAAACAAATGAATCGATCACTATCGAATTTTTTTTACATGCTCTATATATAGCTCTCCGTACAATGACCTATCGATTTTTGAACTGATCAAAAAATCGAATTTCGGCAGGCCAAAAACTACCAATATTTTGGGTAAAATTCGACTATTGTAAATTTTTGATTTACTAGTAGAGAATTTTTTCTTTTAGATTTCAACCACGGAGAAAGCCGGAATCCCTGCAGCAGTGAAGGACCTTTTTTCGCGCCGTTGGAGATCGACTATTATTTAAAAAATGCTTAATTTTTCTTCAAAAATTTCACTGTATATTCTTGAAACCTGTATAAATATGTTCTCAAAATTTTGAAATAGTTAATAAAGTATTTTTTTTAATAAAAATTCTCAAAAATCACCTTCTTTTAGGCCATGACACCAGGTGTGCCCCTTAAGCACGTGAAAAGCAATATTCGTCAAGTTATGGCTTAGAGAAATAAACCCATATTTACTGGCCTATTCTCACTGTTACCGGTAAAGTAAATTTTATTACTTTTCTTTAACATCCGAAATTGAATTTGGTATTCTGGCGAACTGGTTACAATGTTTGAAAAAAAAACTTTGGCATCACTGTTTTTTTCGTCCATTTCAAATTTCATTTGCCAGTTGATAAAGTAAAAAGAAAAATATTCACATCGCAATGGAAGACGGTGCACAAAAAATTAAAAAGTTTTATTAATTTGTTTATTTAATCATAAATATTTAAACTTAATTATGGAAAAAATGCCTGGACAACAAAAAAAGCTGAATTAAAACGTTATCTTACAAAATAAAGGGCTAATTTTTAATCTCGAAAACTTGTTAAAATACGGGTTTTTGCATTTTTTTCTTCATCTTCAATCAATTCCAGGCCTAAACTAAGCCAACCCATTTTGGTTTTTTATTTTTTCTCAAACTTACAACACAAAATCAAACAGCAGATATTTTTGTTACCTCCTATTTCGCTGGTAGCAAAATTTACAGGGTAACAGTGAGCTCAGAATACGGAATGGTAACAAAATTTACTGAATGATAAATTTTAATAATTAGGTAAATTTTGTTACCTCGACAGAATAGGCCTGTTATTGTTAGATTTCTTCTTCCAATGTGCATATTTCAACTTGTCATCGAAAATTGCTCGTGATATAAATGATTTTTTTGCAATTTTTAAAATACTTGTGGATTTACAAAGTAAAAAAATTTGTAGACAAGTTTATTAAATGAATTGTTTATAATTTTTATTTTGTCATAAAACGCGTACGAACGTTGCCTTTCAACCGTAACTTAAACAAACAATAACATCCTGGCTGTCATATGCCATATTTGGTGATAATATGTTTGTTATTGTTTTCAATTCAATATATAATTGTTATTTATAAGCCTTATCAGCAGTTTAAGAATGCTCTCTGTACAGAGGTGGCGACAGAAAATTGAAAGCAACCCATTAATTACATTTGCTTTGACTGTTATTCACAAGACTGTGACCATTTACGGTGGCCAAGGTAGCCGAGTGGTTAGCATTCGGTAGTCTCGCCTACAAAGCCCGAACATCCAAAAGTTATAGAAAACTCATTTAAATTATATATAAAAAAGTTTAACTTTTTAATTGCGGTTTCCCCTCAGCAGGGAATGTCCACCCCTCCGAGTGTATTTCTGACATGAAATAAAGGCTTCTCGTAAAAAACCGTCGACCATTCGGAGGCGGTCCCTCCATTTGTTTTAAAAACATCAAGACGTTAAACGACAAATTGAAGAAGGAGCTCGGCCGAAATACACTTAAGCGGTTCCACCAACTAAATATATATATATATATTTGTATGTATATCAGCAGTTTTAATGCTTTACCATCTTGCAAACATCAAAGTTTAACGGTCAAGATCAAAAATCGTTTATCTAAACAACAAAATTCATGAGCTAATATTTGAGAAACCAACGCTTACTGTTGAGGGGTAAAGCAATTTAATCGTATATTTAGTTTTTAAAGCCCAGTCGTCTGGAAAACAGGTCCGGCTTAAACGGATGAGAGACCCCACTTTTGATGACGACAAATGCAAACGTACACGTGTATTAAGGATTATGATTTCAGGGCGTGCAGCTTCAATGTACTATGCCTTAAATGGGAAGGTGCCGCTGCTCAGCTGGTTGATGTCCTCGCAAGACTGAGGCTAACATCATCGCCGTCCAAGTAGAGCGATGGACGGAACAGGGGCGGGAGAAGGTGTGTCCTTATGAGCATGGACAGGAGCCATATAAAAGAGCCTGCTTCGTGGTGAGAGGGAGTTTCCGTCGCCGAGTACTGACAGGCGATGAACGTTTCAACACAAATCCGCATTAAAGTCAGTAACGGAGTAGAGTGACGGAAAAGAATGGTCATATACAATATGTTTTATGATCTCCCCGTTCAACCAAATGTTACCTTCATCATTGAACAAAATTTCTTGTGAATATTATAGTCGGCGGTCATCTAATTTTAGGCCCATTCACCGATCCTGCGACGTGCATGATGGTCGTTCGACTTCAATTTTTGTCCGAGTTGGATTGCGTAAGACCGAAAAATAGACTGCGTAGAATCTTCTAAAATTGGATTGTTTGCTATGCGCGATGGCAGGTCGACTCAATCGGGAACTCTTCGATATTCTGCCTCACAGCAGTAATAGAATTTTGGGTGCACACCGTACGGCTTCTCTGTGGACTCCAATGAATGTGTTGCGAAACCGAACTGTAGCTGTTCGCGTTACCGATTCTTCGATGCAATTATGTCGATCGAATATTGGTCGAATCGGTGTGTCAGCCAAACTAAGTATAAATCAAGTAACAGCTGCCAAAAAGACCAACTCCAAATAGTATTGCCTCATTGAAACCCACACGTCTAGAAAGCACACCCTTTACTAATACAAAGTTTATTTAATATGAAGGTTCTTTTGCTTTGATTTTTACTGCTTCAAATGTCAATTCTTTGATTGCGCTTGATATACATAAGTAACATTCATATGTGTGTGTCTCTGCGTTTCTTTCTAGAAATGGCTGTCCAGCTGATTGGATATGGATTGTACCGCCTATGTCTGGTTCAATTACGCCTGTCTTTCATCAGGAAATGGCTTTATATTATTTAAAACCATCATTTGAATATCAGGATCCAGCATGGCGTACGCATATATGGAAGAAGGGACGTGGTGAGGGCAAGAGCAAGAAACCGAGACGTAAATTTAATTTCAAACAAATTGCAAGGTAAGTAACTCCCCTTGCTATATTTCTATTAACACCGTAAGAAACTAAGCTACATACATATATGTGTATGTATAACATTTACCTTTTTTTTTTTTAAATACGTCTTACTGCGTTGAACAAAACACGGCTAAAGGGCAAAAATCTTTCATCTAAATATATGTATGTAAATCGATTATTCTACATACGAGTATATGTATGTATGTTACCAAATCTAGTAGTAGAGGGACATAAAGGTTGTTGTTGTTTTTAAATGTGTTAGATTGGCATGAAATGATTGTCATATGTCCAACGGCCTGTAGGAAAATATACTAGTTACTAATTAGAACGAAAGGCGGCCGTGATAAACGAGTCGTTAGCATTGCGTACTGATATTCGGAAGGCCAAGATTTGAATTCGACCAACATTCAAAGTAATAGAAAATTATTTCTTCCGGTTGTGGTCACCCCACGACTGGGATTATCAAGCTATCGGAGTGTATTTTGTGACAAGAAGGAAAAGCTCCTCATTAAAATCCATCAGCCGTTCGGATGTTGTTCATCTTTCAACATTTCTCTCATATTGGCAAATTTTGACAAGACGTCGTCAACTGTTCAATTATGCACCAACTTTATACTAGTAAAATACTAGTCCATTAGTAAACAATCATATTCTTGTTAAGATATATTTTCATTTAGACATATGTTCATACTTATGCATATACATATAATAAATAAATGAATATGTATGAGTACAAGATAAAAGCGTAGCTAGTGCTTAAAGCATTCGATAAATGCCAGCAGTATTTTGCCAGCAGCAATGAAAGCGAGATTGTCAATAACGATTGCGACAAAAGTGCGTTCATTTTCCAAAGTTTATACGCACTTATTGGTATGCGCGTGTATGTGTGAGTTTTATAGAAAGCAGTAATGAAATCCACCTACTTGTTTGCTGTCTGTTGGCATTGGCAATTTGTTGGTTGGTAGATTGTTTGGCTGGTTGGTTGGTTGTTTGTTTACAAATAATACTCTCTGCCTTACTTTGTGTCATGCCAACATATAATATAATATCCAATTTGAATGGCACATAGATACTGACTGGATTATCCTTTCTTTTTATCATGGGCATATTTAAAGTGAAATCATTTTTAGTTAGTTCTCTGATGTCGTGAATTTTTTTTATTTCTCTTTGCGTGAAATTTTGGGTACTGTAGACACCAAATGTAAGGTCTGGTGACGGTAAACTAAAATCCCTATCAAGGCTCCAACTCTAGACAGCTGGGTGGAGCATCTCCTATTGTCTGGGAATTAAATAAAATCCTTATAGTACAACTTCGCAATGAATGAAATCATTTTAATATTGATTACGAATGGATCTAGAAGTCATCAAACAGAGTGCACTTGTATCCCAGGACATTTTTGGTAGTCACAAGTTTAATGGGAACTACAAAATTACTCTCGTTAACAGACAATTGGCAGTTGAGAAGCAAGAGCTGCCCTCGACGAGCAGCTATAAAATCTATAATATTGTTACGATTTTTCTGAATCAACCTCGATGATTTTCTGAATCCTTCGGATACGATCTCTGGATTGTTAAATAAAAAATCGTCAACTTAATTTGCAGTTTCTTTCGTTATAAATCTATTTTCTACGGAATCAGCAGGAATTCTCAAGCGAAGGGTTTCAAAAATTAATGGAAGTGTTCACGCTGGCTTTGCAATGCTTTCCGACTTTCCATGCAATGCCGGCAGTTATTAGGTGAGTATTAGATAAGAGTGTTGACCGAAGGATCTAAGCCCTCGTTTTCTTTTGGAGAATACTTATATCCGAAATGTTTTTTGTGCACAGGCATTCAAGGCTCGGTACCTGATGTATTTCAAGTGCTTTGTGTTGGATTCGAGATAGAGCTGGGCAGTCACATAGAAGGTTTCTTTATTCCCTTCTACATATCTTGCTAAAGGGTAGATGCATGTCCTCCAAAGTGCTAATGACCCGTTAGAGTGGCTGTAAATCTATATACCTTTCCTTTATATTTTGAATATATATTTTGTTTTGGTTATGCCATAGCTAGGCCTGATCTGTTTCACTATCTAACATCTGGATATCTATCTTCTTAACGCTATTTGTTCAAAGGGAAACTAAAGCTTTCTTTTGGTCATTCTTAACAGGCATAGTAATTATTTCCGCTTAAGGATTATCAAGTATACTTCTGACTTAGCCAACTCCTCAGCTTTCGTCACCATATTTCTTTCGTCATGTAGGCAGTTTCTGGACAGGACGAGTCGGTTCACCACGGAGCTTGGAGTCTTCTTGCTTGTACGACGCTTGAATTTATCGTTGGCGACGAAAAGCCTATCAATGTATGCCGCCGTAACCGAGCCGTTAGCACTGAGTACTGCCAATGAAATTAATTTAAATAAACAAAAATAAGTAAAATTTTCTAATTGCGGTTGCCTCTCGACTGGGAATGCCCACTTCATAAAAAACCATCAGCCGTTCGGAGGTGGCTTGGTATAAACTGTAGGTCCATCCATTTGTTGGAAGAATGTCATGACGCAAAACTACAAGTTGGAGGAGAAGCTCGGCCGATAATCGATTCAGCGGTAACAAAGCGCCAACTTTAGATTAACGTACGCTTCGAAGACCCATCATGGACTCGGACCTTGAATTACGAGCTATAGAGCTGGTAAGGATGGTACAATATCTACTGCCGATACAACGATGAGCTGAGGCGACACTTACAGCTGGATCATGTCGTCCAAAAGGTTGGTAGTACTCCTCGTCTGCGTTATTAAAGTTGACCTGTTTAACTGACTCGACTCATTTTCTTATTCATAAACCGAGTGATTGGCAGCACAAAAAATGTACAGTCACAAGCTGGCTATACGAGCTATGAGCATTGTATATACGTACATACGAGCCAGGAAGAGTAAGCTCATATTAATATCATTTTATATATCAATTCATTTCCAAAGGTGACAATTTTTTAATTGAATTCCAATCAATTTTATATTTCACAAAAATTGGGAAAACCAATTTCATTATGTTAACGGTTTTTTTTTTTTTAGAAAATTCACACCCACATGAACAATGCGATGCGTAATTAAATCATGTTTTCAGCTCTCAGAAAAGCAAAAGCCATAACAAAGATCAGCGTGTTGAAAGCCATTGAAGTGACGAAAAATGACGCTCGACCAATTACTCGCGAATGGCAGTAACGCACAGTGGGGGGAGGCACTGTGAAAAGTAACAGAAAATGGAATTTAAATTTTTTCTTTGCAATCAACCAATATTTGAAAATATTTTACTAAAAAACAAATATGAAATCTGTGCTTTTAAGATTTCGATTTTTTTGGGTTTCCAAATGAGTGAAATGGGATTATTTCCACAGTCTCAGAGAATTGTGTTTAAAGAATACATGGGAGAATTTCGGCTAAAGCACATTAAGAAATTTCTATGTATGTAAAAATTTTATGCTCGTTTGTAAAGATCCGCATATCTCGAAAAGTTTCCGACCGATTGGTTTGAAGTTTTGTCAGAAGCGGACCACATATCGATGTATTCGAAAAAATCTTACTTATAATTCGATTTACTTGAAATTCGTTAAATAGTTGGACTTAGATTTGCAGGAGAGCTACTTTTCTCTCCGGCATCGTATTGCTGGATATTTTTACTTTCAAGAGTCGATTCAATATGCTTATCGTCTAGCGGTCTTAAGAATGAAACTGGTGCTATATTAAATATATCCTAAAGAATGTATGAATTTTCATTGAAATTTATGGAGCCGCTTTCGAGTTATAATACTTAAAGATTAAAAGAAAAAAACATGAATATGTAGCTTTAAGGAAAAGTTTTAAAAGGGCATTTTGAGAGCCTGAGAGCTTTTTGTTACTTGACAAATAACTTGAAGATTATTTGCCGCAGTATTTTTAGTGAATATTTTTAAGATATTTTACTTTGAGGCAATTCACTAATATCAATATTTTTTTTTTTTGGAAAATTCTGATTACCGCTAGAGTATTACAAAAGACAGTGGGATGACGTTGCTTATTATTTGGGCTTGCTTTGCTTACACTAGTTATGAAGGTCTTTTATTCAGGGATAGGCTTATTTCTGTACCAAAAACAGCAATTTTTTTTTTGGTAGACCATTTAGAGTTCAATTGATTAATGCCTTAAGTATACGATTTTGGATCCGGCATTGGGGAAAGCGAAAATTCTGTTGTGAGGCACAAAGTCGTTGTAGCTGCCCGATTGTACCCACATTAAGTTCGTGTTCATACCTTTCATGTACATAGAATGAAGTTTAAGAAAGAGAAAAGATAGGCCAGCCAAAACTTATACCAATCGGGTGAAAATTCCCAGTTGAGTTGATTTAGATGTGATCCTCAGCTTTGCAGATATTTATCGAGCAATTTTTTCAGTGTTGAGATTTTGGGTCACAAATCCATCCAAAAAGCATCTAAGATTATTTAATTTGGCGTGATATGCTCGCATCTGCAATTAAGAAAATTACTAAAATCGGAAACTCACATGTAAAATTCGTAACGGTCATGAAAGGTATAAAGACTTCGGCATTGTCGATGACAGCTCTTCTTTCTTGTTTGCCTTTTATATAGTTTTTGGTATTAATATGAAACTTTTCCGATTTCGTCTACGTAATCAATGCACTATTCAGTATCAAATTGTCCCACTGTACATAACGATTATGTACAATAATTGGTAATTATTGATGGCGCCGCATATGCACACGTAAAATCCGCGTAGATCAAAAAGTATTTTCAAAGTAGCAAAAATCAATAAAACTACAAAGTACAATCCAATTAGCATTATCAATGTCCCAGAGCAGAACTTCGCACTTAAACTCGGATTAATTTTATATTAGGGATACCATTACCTTCCGAAATAAACCAAAAATTTATATTAGATACTTCTCTATTATAACCGAATTTATAACATTGCGTCATTCGTTTCATTTCTTCGCTGTTTAGCGTCAATTAGTAATATCAAGTACAGTTAGATCCTA